GCGCGGGACACACCTAATATTTTCAGTTGATAGGAAATTTTGAATTTTGCCCGGGTGGCGCCGACGCCAACGCCAACTCTGATCGATTTTAGACCACCAAGGGATCTTTAACGTGCGCAACTTGCACACGGGCCCTCCGAGATTTTTCGCCCTTGTCCGAGAAGGCTAGGTGTAGATCTTTCCTACCAGAAGATCAGGGTTGTGGCAGAAAGACAGCAGTAAAGTGGAGCCAAGGAGTAGCAGTAGAAAGGCTGCAGAAAGAGTCAGGAGACCAGAGGAAGGGGCAAAAGAGGTGAGGGGGTGGGGGCAGAAAGTGGAAATGAAAGCAGACAACAGAACATTGCTAGAGAGCAGGAAAGGAGGTGAAAGGAGACAATTTTTTTGGTCACTACCCGGATTCGAACCCGGGACCTTTAAATGAGAGGCCAACCCCTTAACCTCTAGGCCACGAGGGCCCGCTTCAAGAGGTTAGTATTTGACGAATTTTCGTTGCTTTTTTCGTTTTAGTTAGCATTTTACGGCGCTTGCAGCACAATTAGGTCATAAAAGTGCCTACGACTAGGCTAGTATATAATCCGCGGACACCCATGCGTGATAAACACTTCTGTATCGTGCGTCCGCCTTTTTTCCACCATCACGACCTTGCGCGACGTGCATTCTGAGGGGGTCAGTGTCATCTCACAGATTGTCTTTTCCTCCCTCGTCTTGGGGAACGACACGAGGCTGATCAAACAGTACATGGGCGTTCAAGTTTACCGAAGCGACGCTTTAAGAAAAAAAAAACGTTAGAAAAAATTAGCCTCCGGTCTACGTCAGCTTTTCCAACCACTTCGAATGGAGGGTAATGGATATTTGCATTGAGGTTTAGATTGTCTGTGGCGATGGGTTTAAATTATCATAATACACTCTCGGGTCATTTAGATCTAGACTAGTTTTATTGGACTGACGTCGAATCACTTTGATCATTTTTTCCCCTTTTTTAAAAACCCACTCAGGGTACCTCAAAACGTATTAAGTTTTGGTTTAAGTCAGCATTCTACGGCACGTCTTGTAACACGAATAGATCATATAAGTGCCGTCCGTTAAAAACAGAGAACTCACATTTTCTGGATGCTTCTTTAAAAACCGTAATGTGGTGATTTCAGACCAAACACTTGAATAAAATGCTAGTGGAAAATAATATTAGTGTTCTCATGAGCCATCTTTCTCAATCTGCAAGGCCAAAATAATATGTTGCATAATCTGGATAAAGGTCCGAGCGTCTTGCGGAAAACTGAGATAAAGTTGGAAACCGTTCTGACGCGTTACTGGGACGAGTTATAAGGTCTTTTTCTTATTACAATTTCGCCGGAAGCGCTTAAAATGACTATCCATAAACTCTTAGTTCTGCTTGTGATCTCGTATTAATAGACAGTATTTGTATAGCGCAAATTTCCGCTCTACAGCAGGCTCTAA